TGTCGAGTACGTCCAACATAAAATATCGAGGTCATCAAACAGAGATGCGTGGTTTCAGAATTACAGAATTAAGCTTGAATTTGGAAGAGATCTAGATTAAAAGATTGAGCTCCACTAGGAGACGACGGCAGGAAAACGTGTTTACGGTACGTACCTAAAAGACCCACTTTATACTCTAATTGTGGAGCTGACTAATAGTGAAAGAAAAAATTTCGAGGGGCTGCGCCCGATAAGGCTAATTTTTTGGGAAATGGGCTTTTGAAGATAACCGATCTCACTTTTCTCACATTTTCAACTTCACATCAACAAAAATAAGACGCTGGTTCACCGACAAACCCTCCAGCGCCCACGATCGAGGGCATTCCGGGCAGTTTCGGCTCGCCCTTCTTCAACGCTCTGCGACGCCCATTTCCATTTTTAAACTACTCGGGCTGTCTTTATCTCATTCTGCCTAATCTGTCAACACCGACCGCTCACGATGCCTCACCAAGTCTCGCCGCCGCTAATGGTGGCCAAATCCGGCGATGCCCCTCCCCCGCCTTCGCAACAAGATGTCTCATCAATTCTCAATACCATCTTCACTGCTAAGACTTCTGCCGCTTCAATCGATGCCTGCTATGGTCTTTGCGAATTACTTCTCAATACTGTCGGTTTCCGAGGTCTACATGAATATGGCATTGTGGCAGAACTCAAGAAGGCTGCGTCCGACAAGAAAAGTGGTTTGCGACGAGAGAGCGCCCAGAATCTCCTTGGCGCCCTTTTCGAAAGATTCCCGCCCCGGCAACAATCTAGCGAAGTCGTCTTCCTTGTTCAAGATGGCGGTCTGGTGTCAGTCGCCTTGGATGCTTTAGCCGACAAAGGTTCAGTGGTCCGCGACGCTGCGCAGTATGGCCTCGACGCACTATTTGGCTTTTTAAGCCCCGAGGCCATGGTCGTTGGCTTGTTACCCGCTCTTGTCGCTTACCTATCGAAGAAAACTGGAAAGTGGCAGGGTACAGTTGGCGCCTTAAAATTGATGCAGAGGATGGCCGACAAAGCAAAGATGGAGATTGGTTGCACGAAAGAGCAGGCTCAAGAGAAAGACATCCTCAGAGAGGCGATGGGAGCAAAGCTTGCTAGCTTGATCCCTATAGTTGAAGGCAACATGCACGATCTTAAGTCCGAGGTTGAGAAGCAAGCGCTCATTACGATGCAATCCCTTACGACACTACTGTCCAACGATGATGTTGCTCCTAGGATTCCTCTCCTTGTCGACACCATGCATCATCCATCTACCCAAACGCTCCAGAAGGCAATCCATGCTCTTTCCCAGACGACCTTTGTTGCCGAAGTGACATCTCCTGTCCTCGCCCTTCTTACGCCCTTCCTCGAGAGAACCCTGAACAACCCTACTACTGCTCAGGAAGTACTGCGACAGACTGTCGTGATTACCGAAAACCTGACAAAGCTAGTCCACGACCCTATCGAAGCCCGTACATTCCTACCAAAACTCCAGCCTGGTGTGAAGAGCGTTGTCGAACGCGCACCGCTTCCCGAGGTTCGAGAAATAGCGACCAGGGCCTTGGATGTTATGGATAAGGCTATGGGTAATGACGAGGCAGTGGTTGAGAGATGCTCCGCGGACGACGTTGCTAAGGTACTCGACTCTGAAATCAAGAAGAATGGAGGGTTATCAGGCGACCTGGAATTTTACAAACTCGCTCGCCCCTACATTTGCGAGATGGTGACTGAGGATGCCAATCATCGCCAAGTTGATCGAATCCCCGCTAGGATTGCTCCTTATCTGAAGGATTTGATGCACCAACCTAGCGCTAGTGATGTTGTTGCTTCTAGCCTCCATGAGTTCTACGTTGCTGAGGATCACCGCAAGTATGGTGTGCCGGAGAAAGAAGATGATGGCGAGACCGAAATCGTCAATGCCGACTTCTCATTGGCATATGGTGGTATGCTTCTTCTGTCTCATACCAACCTCCGACTACTGAAGGGACACCGATATGGTCTTTGTGGTCGTAACGGTGCTGGCAAGTCTACCCTAATGAAGAGTATCGCTGGTGGAAAATTGGAAGGTTTCCCGCCACAAGATGTGCTCCGTACATGTTATGTCGAGCATAACCAAGGAGAAGATGCCGACATAAGCATTCTAGACTTCATGGTTAAAGACCCTACAATCGCGTCCGAGGGCAGAGAGAGAATTTCCGAAGTCCTTGCTGAGTTCGGATTTACTGCAGGCCCCGAAGGTAGACAAGCCCAAAAAGTCGGCTCGCTTTCGGGAGGTTGGAAGATGAAGCTCGCTCTTGCTCGAGCCATGTTGCAAAAAGCCGATGTTTTGTTACTCGACGAACCTACCAATCATTTGGATGTCGCCAACATTGCGTGGTTGGAGAACTACTTGAAGACCCACACAGATATCACCAGCTTGATCGTTTCCCACGACTCAGGCTTCTTGGATAACGTAACGACTGATATTTACCATTACGAGCCTGGAAAGAAACTCGGTCATTTCAAGGGCAACCTCTCAGACTTCGTCAAGATCCGCCCAGAAGCCAAAGCTTACTACACTCTTTCCGCCTCCAATGTTCAGTTCAAGTTCCCACCTCCTGGTATTCTCACTGGTGTCAAATCTCAAACCAGAGCTATCATTCGTATGACTGGAGTTTCTTACCAGTATCCTAAAGCGCCCAAGCCATCGCTCTCTGATGTCTCTTGTCAGCTGTCTCTTTCGTCCCGTGTCGCTGTGATCGGACCGAATGGTGCGGGAAAATCAACCTTGATCAAGTTGTTGACAGGTGAGGTGATTCCGACTAGTGGAAGAGTCGAGAAGCACCCCAATCTTCGAATTGGTTACATCAAGCAACACGCTCTTGAGCACGTCGAGATGCATCTCGAGAAAACACCCAACCAGTATCTACAATGGCGATACGCTAATGGAGACGATCGGGAAGTGTTCTTGAAACAAACCCGTATTCTGTCCGACAAGGACAAAGAGCAAATGGACAAGCGAATCAACCTTAATGACGGAAAGGGTGAGCGACAAGTCGAGGCTCTTGTCGGTCGCCAGAAGTACAAGAAAACGTTCCAATACGAAGTGTAAGCCGGCCGTCGATATTATATATAGAAATACCAGTACTAACAATGTGTAGGAAATGGAGAGCTTGGCTACCAAAGTACAACTCGCAAGTGTCTCGTGAAACCCTTATTGAGTGGGGTTTCGACAAGCTTGTGCAGGAATTTGACGATCACGAAGCGTCTCGCGAGGGTCTTGGCTACCGAGAGCTTCAACCGACTGTCATCTCTAAGCACTTCGAGGATCTCGGTCTTGATCCCGAGATTGCTAACCACAACGAAATCGGCAGCTTGTCGGGAGGTCAGAAAGTCAAGGTCGTTATTGCCGGTGCCATGTGGAACAACCCCCATTTGCTGGTACTTGACGAGCCTACTAACTTCTTGGACCGTGATTCTCTCGGTGGTCTTGCCGTCGCAATTCGAGATTTCAAGGGCGGTGTGGTCATGATTTCCCATAACGAAGAGTTTGTCGGTGCACTATCAGCCGAACAATGGCACATCAACGATGGAAAGATGGTCTTGAAGGGCAATGCTTCGATCGCCCTGGATCGTTTCGAGGATAGCAAGCCAAACAGTGGTCTCACCAGCGCTATCACAAGTGGAGTCAATAGCACAGCTGCCAGCAGTGCCGTGAGCAGTGCTGTGAACTCGGGCGTCGAAGATAACTCGCCGCTGAAGTTCAAGTCCAAGAAGAAGAGGAAGAAGACCAAGAAGGAACTAAAAGAACAGGAAGTTCGCAGACGACTTCGACACATCGAATGGCTCAACAGTCCGAAGGGTACCCCACACCCCGCGGATACCGATGACGAAGAGTAACGGCATTTCACTCTTTTCCCGCATGACATTTCACATGAGTTTGGCACGCATTTCTTTTTAGCAGGTGGTGGCTTTTTACCTTGCCGGGCTTGGCTCCCGTAGACGAAGAAGTCGTCCATAGAATCGGGGATGAATTGGAAATTGGCATTTAATCGACCGCACAAATAGAAGGTCAAAACAGGCGTTTAATTTAGATGGACGGATGGCATGATAGAACGAGAATACTTGGTATTCACGTAGCTCATTAGAAGCTAGTAGATCAATGAACGAGATTATACATAGAGGTTTTACGCCTTGCAGCTTGATTGAATGCGTAATAATTGTCTGCTACTTAATGCGTCTATCGGAGGATACCTAATTCAGTAAATAGTGGCAATGTAATTTATACTGAGGTATCCATCGGTGCTGTACCTATTCCATCGCTAAGTCCTCTATAATAATTAAAGAGCTTAGCGCTATGAGGCGCTAGGTACACCACCTTTTCAACAACGGCTGAACAACAGCTGAACAACATTTCAACAACGCTTCAACAACACTACAACGACAGTTTAACAAGAGCTTAACAACAGCTCAATATCAATTCCATTACACCAAAACCTGAATTAGATTGAAGGTTTTGAAGCAAGTAATTGAACTATGTTTAGCATATCATTTGAAACGTAGATTTCGTAAAGTTATTAGCTTTGAAAGCCTTGAAGTTCAACTGTTGTTGAAGTGTTGTTCAGCCGTTGTTGGAGCCGTAACATCTGCCATCCCGTCAGATCATTTTTACATCGTGTAACCAACCGCCTGAATTCCCTGTAATTACAGGCAACTCAGTGGTTCAATACAGTGTAAAGACAGTGTATATGCTCGTGCACACGGTGCCCAGTGTAAAATCATTTCGCGGGATGGCGGATGTTACGGCTATCGACCGTACTGAGTTTGGCATGTATATTATTAGTGGCCAATAGGAATTGAATACTTCCTTCAACTTATGAAGTCTAATCGAGATGGAAGGAGTGTCTCACAAAAGAAAGAGTTTATTTAACCCACCGACTCTCACCTGCCGAAAATATTGCAAATATTGTAACAAAGATGAAAAAGTAACTGCGAAGATTTCTCTTCGCACATTAAGAGATTGCCCACTACTGGAATCGAACCAGTGATCTCATCATCACACTAGATGTGGTACTAGTGATGCGCTTTACCACTAAGCCAAGCGGGCTCGCACCTTGCTGAGTCGGTCCGCCATATGCTGACTAATTCAATTGCTGTTGAAAAGACTTTTCGGTAATGTGGTATATGTTGCCTGCACAAACTAGCGGTGTTGAACTCTTAATAGGGAAGCTGCTGCATGTTGGCTAATATTTTCTATCTTAATTGGTTAGATTGGAAGCCCGGTCCCTGTACTTACGAGGATCCCCGCAGTAAGCTTGGCCTATGGGCGCCTGCTGCTTCATACGAAATAGGATATTATGCAGCGCCTTCAAGCCTCTTTTTTTGGAATCCTTCAATCTATGACAGATTGAAGCTGTCGCTTTTCTTGAGTTAGGAATCGAGTTTTATAAGCTCGCAATTAATTCATAATCTTTCCAGTCCGTATAGATAGTTTTACATTGGGATATTAGTTATGAAGATCTTTAGCCATCAGTTTACGAGGAAGTGACAACTCACTGCACTAAAATTATCCCCTACATTTCCCATTTAGGAGGCATATACCGCTAAGCGTGGGGAATAAATGCTGATTAGGCTATACAGGGGATAGTCAAAGACATAGTTTATCGTATTAGCATTGGCACAAAAGTTATTATCCTGGAAGTGAATTGATTAAAAAACGTCAATTTATGATATCTTAAGTATCGCAGGATTTCCAGTTCGACTTCAAGACGAAATTAGGATGGTTTGCGATCTCTTCCCCAACATCCCGAATTAAGGGGTACGCCCCTTAATCCATCACCCACTAGACCCTCCTACATCGTGTTTCTCAATCAATAACAACGTTAATATTCCTCTTAATCCGAATGAAATTCATCTCAAACGAAGCTAACAGCTGCCAAGATCTCTCCGCTTATATAAGTTCAACGTCAATTGGTATTGCGGTCTTGCTGTTGACCTCTATCCGGTGTCTTCGTCTCGTCTTTTACTTGGCGTTTTGCCTTCACAGCGGCCGATGTTAACTCCATTATCAACCCCATGGTGTTGATCAAGTTCCTATGGGCCTCATCCACGGCGTCGTGCTGTTTTTGGATCTCATCTTCAGAATTTGTCTTCGCCTCGGGCTCCTTCTGGTTATCTTTGGGACTGTCAGACATCGCTTGCTTCGTTCGGTATGGATGGTGATGTGATATTAATGATAAGGATAGGAAGCTGGGCCAGGTTATTCTAGTTAATACGATTCTCGGATAACCTTAAGTAGAGAGTTTGTATGCTTTTGAAAACGAGTTGTGTTGGTTCCCCAGAGCAAAATTTCTTGTAGATTCTTGGGCCGGAAGGAATCTCATGTTATGGTGAAAAGCACTGCACTCAGGTTTAACATGTTACAAGGTCATGATTCACGGATTATCTCCCTATCACTATTGCGTGTTTTCGAAGGTCATGCAAAATACTAAGGAGTTGCTGCGTCAGTTTAGGGTCACGAACAGCATACTTCATTACTTCTAATCTAATAGCCGTCAAATGCTTACCGCAGTTTCTCTTCCACCTGGACTTGACTCTCAACACGATCATGAAATTGCTAGGTATACCACAAGGTGTATCTTTGCTTTCCAGAGTGAGTTCCTAAGAGTATATTATCCAGGTCAGTGATTCATAATTATACAATTCCCTCGGACAGCACATTTATCATTTAGTACTCACGCAGGAAACAACAGCGAAGCGGGATATTGAATGCATACAGAAATGCATCTAGTAGATATACCAAAGTATTGTGATTGGGCTTAGAAGTCAAGCATATGCTGGTATTTATTCGCCCCTTCCTCATAGAAATGACTGCCTTATTTATTTCCTAATACTAAATTCCATCCCATCATACTGCAAAGGAACAATCCTACAGAAGGGGCCTGTGGCTCAGTGGCAGAGCGTCCGCTTAGCAAATTACTTGCGGGAGGTCCAGGGTTCGATTCCCTGCTGGTCCACGAATATTTTTTTCTCTCTCGTCGCTTCCCATAAAGGCAGCTTCTAATTAAGTAACCCCTTGGTGGGTGGAAATAGGGCTAATATATCCTCTATTGGTTTTCAAATGCCACATATTAGTCCCAGGGGTAAAGTAAAGTATTTAAAAATTCAAACCGACAATGCTTTGTACCTAAGGTAGTAGGTGTTCCAATTCCTTTCTATTGTCCCGTCTATTTCCAAATCGGCTTTCCGTTGTCAGGTAATTGATCTATCATCTCGCTTTCCGGTGCCCCAGCAATCAAGCGCTTCAAGTTTTCCCGTACACTCAATCTTATATACGGCGTTCCTGTCGCTGTTGTGTAACCACCCCCTTGGCCTTGGATATTAGAAGTACCCCCTTTGGCGTAATGGTGACTAAACAGAGGTGGTTGCACCGTAAGACAAACTGGAACCTCCTGGTTTTCGTAGGTAGTCTTACTGTTTGTGTTCGAGTCGGGTTTGGTTTGGGATTTGTCTTTGGTAGTGTATCCCCCCTCACACCATTTCTGTAGCATCAGGTCCCATTGGGCATCATAGTGTGAGTTAAATTTTAAGAGTAGTTTGCGGGCTCCTTGGTAGCTGATTGCGTAGGCGAGACTGCAGATAGTCCCGCTGGACGCATGCACGACGCGAGTATGAGGTGGGTATATCTCGCCTAGCTTGTCTAGTAAAGCGAAGGGGTGAGGTTTGAGATGTTTAGGAGCAGGGACTGTAGGGTCTTCAGGTATTGTGATTCTTAGGGGATTCACTTCAGAATTTTCTGACGGGAAGTCGGTACCGCAGTGCCCAAGCCATAGAACATCCCAATCATCGCCGTATGCACTTTTATAAGCACGGCCATCGGCACCCATATTAGGATCTAGTTGGATCGTGTCCTTTTTAGATTCTATGTTAGCAGTCCCGTCGTCATCTTTCTGGAGTGAAAGTGGAACAAAATCGAGCAACCTAACCAGGTTTATATCGGATTTCGACTCTCTCAACCAAGTTCGCGACGCCAACGCAAGAGTCTGCAGTTGCGGCTTCAAGCGTATATCCCAATCGATATCGTCTTCGAGAATTAGTGCGCTTTCGAGATTTTCCTTCACAATCGTTTGTAGAGCATTCATATGGGATCTCCAGGATCCCTTCGAGCCGGGGGAGCGCACTTCGTGACTGAATGGGGCGGTGAGGTCCGTTACTTGGTCGCCTGACACGCCATCGATCCACGTAAAGGAGAGATTGCTAACAGCCCCTGCTAGAGCCATTGCATCTCGACGGTCTGTTCGAGAAGGAAGATTGATGACGAATATTTTCGAGAACTGTGCCTGATATTAGAATACGGAGACATAGAAAAAACATGTGAGGAGAAAAGGGGTATTACGCCTAGGGTTTTGTTGAGTACATCTTCATTAGAAATCCGGCCTCCAAAAACACCCAGCCGATCATGGTTGGTAAGTCTCCACCAATAGACGTAGAAAAGAGGAGCGAGGACACACGCGGCTACGAAAGCTCTGTGGTAGGACGACATGGCATATTTAGAAGACATTCATTTTACGATGCCACTGTAGATTCTTATCCAGAATCCCGTCAATCGTACGAACAGTCTATTTTAATGGAGGGGTTAAGTTTTACTATCGAAAGCCTCAAGGTGTCCAAAGCGGATGGTGCGGCGCATTCCAGTTAATAGGAGGTCCGCGGATAAAAGGACCGGATAATTTTCTAGCAGCGATCTGCAACAAGGATTCTAATCAAGTATACCTAAGGTTACATATAGATTAAAAGGAATCCATACTCATGAAGGCATATTCTTGCACGGGATATATTAAATCCTTAAGGGGTATATATGATTCTCGCCAGGGGTATCACGTGACCCCCCTTTCACCCCCTCGGACGATGGCCGGAATTAGCCATAGCACGTACTATTCAACACATCACTGCTTTCACAGAAGTTATCTACTATTTTCGCCGCCATTCAATCCGATATATTCATGGACCGATGTTGTAACCTATCTAAGAGGTAGTCGAAGGTCTGTTTTCTTTACACCAAGTCATTGTGATGCTTCAGATGGCGCGTCAATCCACTAGACTTAGCAAAGCTCTTGGCGCAGTCCTGCCAATGACACAAGAATTCGCCGGGTGCGTCATTGGCTGCTGCGAGGCTTTGGTGCGCTTGAAGGTGCTTGAGCAACTCGTCACTGCTGTCGAACTCCGCCTTACACTCGCCCCAGTGACATTTTGTTCCCTTATAATGACGGTCTATACAGTGTCGTTTAACGTGCCAGGCCGTTAGTAGCAGTTGTGCGCATTCAGGACACGGAACCTTGCTGTTGATCTTCTGATCCTCTCCTTGTACATTGGTAGTGGAGGCTCGTTCGACTTGTGAGGTAGGCGGATCCTGTACTACTGGGATGGCTTCTGATTGCTGTAGTAACGTGCTTGGGACTCGTAAATTGTTGTCCAGAAACGGACCATACGGATGGGATCTGGTCCTCCAGGGGAGGGGAGTGCGTCCTCTTCGGAGAGCCTTGATAACCTAGATCGGCTGCTTAGAAGAGGACACAGTCGCTTTTTTCTTGCTGGTTCCATCGCTGCCATCGATTTCGCCATCAGAGGCTAATTCGGATTGGACACTCTGCTGGTGGGTAGATAAATCCATCTGCACAGGGGTAATAGTAGATTCTAATAGAAATATAAACGTCAGCAAAGTGATTATACGAGTACGAGAAACGGCTTGCAGAGTTAGGGATGCGAATACAACAAGATTGAAATTCAAGAGAAGGCTATTGACAATGCTTACCCGCAATAGAATCTTGCGCGAGATCCATTTCATGGATCTTGAGGGAATCCATTTCTTCAAGCTTGGTGTTTAGATAAAGTGGTGATGATGATATCGAGAAATGCCCTTGTGAGGCGAGCGCGACTTTTTGTGAGAAGCAATTAGAAAGGCAGCAGCGGATTGTAGGGGGAAAAAAGGGTTGCCTATCCAAATTGTCACCTACCATATATACTACCTAGGTACCTAAGAATACCTAGTGTTTACAGGCAATATGATTGTCAAGACCAACCTTGGAACTGAAATTGGTACTTAGCTAC